CAGCATTGCTAATACCATAATGGATTAACAGTGTAGAGGGAGGAAACCCCAGGAGAGTCGTGCATATCAAATACTCACTAAATATCTAACTCAGGCCTTTTCAGGTTTGTATGAAAACTTGTAATTCAAATAAGATAATTTCCCTTTAGCAAATAATGAATGTAAGGAATTTATCAATGAGTCCTTGTATCGTGACAGACATGTCAAGTGTGCAGTACAATTGTGAACTACAAGAAAGTATTTAAAAACAAAAACAAATTTCTAACAAAATCTTGGTTTCTCCGTAGTAAATGTGAGAAACCAGTGCTTTTCTTATAGATGATAGATTTGATCAACTCGATCTTCAATGATTTTAAAAATCAATATTTGCATTCTTACAGTTTGCAAAGAATCAGAAAACAGCAATATGTATAGATGTTATATTTTGTTCCTGGTTTATCTTTACTCAGGAGCATGACTTTATAGCTGGAACTAAATGGTTTTTGCTAGTAATTTGTTGAGAAGACCTCAGCAAATCACATAACCCTTAGGAAATACATTTGTCTTGTCTATAAATGGTGCACTAGACCCAAACAGTGATTTTTCAGTGTGTACAATTGCAAGTCCCAGGGAAGCAGGCATTGTGAGAGTTTTTTTCTTATAGACCTTGAGGACCGGTATAGCACTGGGCACATAACCAGTGCTTGAAGACTATGGCTAAAAGAATGACTGATTGGGTTCTGTGTGGAGTCTCATTCCTCAACAGAACTTCTCCCAGCCAAATTCTGCTTCTGTTTGTTTTATATATTTGGTATAAGGTAAGGTTTCATGAAACAAACAAGAGACTTATTTTATAGCTGAAAAATAAATGCTTGAAAATTTGGTAATGATTCCACGCTGGGTTTTTTGTTATTAATAATAGCAACAAAACAAATCACCATAGATTACTCTCATTTTTTTTCTATGCAGTCCTGGATTCTGTAAGAGAGCTGTGTAGAAATTGTATTTATGGCAGAGGAGGTATGACTGGGTGATGAGTAGGCAGAGGAAGAGATGATAGGACATGCCAGTGAAAAGGAAAGCTTCTGTGATTAATGACAAGGGGCCAAAACAAGTTCAGGGTGATGAAAACATGTGACTAGAATGTAGCTGTGGGGAAAGGGCAGAAAGGCTTGAAGAGGCTCCTGCCTTAGCCCTGTGGGCTTGGTTAGAACCTTGGCTCCACTTGGTGGGGAAGCAAGCCATCAATATTTTAAGAAAGCAGAGATAACATAATCATATTTATTTTACCAAGGACTCTGTAAACATAGTGCTGAGATTAGACCTTCAGATCCTAAGGAATGTCTGCTGCCTTAGCGCTTTGCCTTCGGTTTAATGGATATCATAAATAATACAAAAAGTTTGCCATTCATCTGTTTTTCAGAGTTGATTTGCAGAGTTCTGAGAAATGATTCTTTATGTAGTTTTATAGCTCTTCCAAAGAGGAAATGTACTGCTTGTATTAATTAAGGATATACTTTAATGTATTAATATGTTAACACAATAAAGGGAAAAATAACACTGGAGATGAACAGAAGTCACTCTTAACCTGAATGATCTCTACCACAGTGTAATTCCATTTGTTGGTAATTGAGAAATACCATTAGAGAATCTACCAAGAAGGAATTAGATGTGACACTCACAGCAGAATGCTTTGCAATTAGGACAGTGGGCTAAGTTTGAGAACTATGTTGAATGATAATTTTATTCTGTAACTTAAAAATAAATTTTGTCCTGCCTAAAGATATTATGAGTGCCCTAATTTCCAGGGTAAATGATGCTATATTTGTATTCCAATGATGCACACTGTATCAGAAATGTGGACTATCTGGGATAGGGAGGGAGTTTACTACTGGATGTGATGTTGCTTGATCTATTTTAACACTTAGTTTTAACTTAATCACTTTATGACACGTGTACCATATATATACCTCATCAATCACAGTAGTGAATTTTCAGCACGGCATAAAAGTGAGAATGCATGCCTGTAATTCCAGCACTCACAAGTCTGAGGCAGAAAGAGTGCTGTGAGTTTGAGGCCAGTCTGGGCTACACAGTAAGTTCAAGGCCAGCTTGGAATATATAACAAGACCTAACTTCAAGAACTTAGGCAAAACAAACAAAGATAATAAATGAGGTAGTGTCAAAAGTTGAGTGAAGTCAGAAAGAGGTGCATTTAAAAATACAATAAAAATAAGATTTTAGTATGCCAGTAAGCAGAGAATATTACAAATATTGGAAGATTTCAATTGCAATATGAATCCTGAAAATTGATTAAAAGGTTGGAAAATGACTATTTCCAAAATGAATCTAAAATGTTGCAAATCCTATATAGTAAATAGATAAAGACAGACCAATTTATTTTCCCCTTATGCTATGTAATGTAATATTTATGTGTATATATATTTTTAAAATATTTTAATTTTTTGCTCTTTTAAGAGTTAAGTTCATTTTAAACTTGAGAAAAAAATAATTGCCACCTATTCTTGAAATATCTTCAGATTTATATTGAAACGCTTCCTTAATTCTAATTGGAAATTTATCAAACATCCTAGACGTCTATGGGGGTGCAAAATGAAAGAAGAAAGTTGCTTCTGTGAAGAGCTGAAAACAAGCTGTAGGAATATGCATCCTTAATAGTCATAATAAAAGTTTATTTTTCTTCAGCCCTGGCTAGGTGCCAGGGTAATCCCAGTTCTTACCATGAACTTATGATGTGATATCTTTACCCTCATTTCAAGGATGAGTGTTGGAGAGATTAAGTAAGATACTCAGACTACTGATACAGTAAGTGATTGATCTGAACCTAGGCTTATGCCCCCCTGAGCCTGACTTACGATATCTTGCTGGAAGACAAAAGCGAAGACTCACAGGTAGCATATGGATCTGTGTCTCCCTCCCATGTCCCCATTGTAGTTCTTGCCCATTGTATTATAATTTTTTATATGCCTATCTCTTGATCTATGTCTATCTCATGTTTAACTCCTGTACAGCAGGGATGATGCCTATTTATCATTTTATATCCATGGGTTAAACACAATGGTATGGCCCATAATAGAGGCTCAGTAAGTGCTTGTTGAATGACCATTATTGTTAGACCTCACTAAAGGCTAATATATCACAGAAAACCTTATTACAGAAACTTGCTGACATAGGAAAAGTATCAATTGCTTTTAAGGCATCCCCTTTTTCAAAGATTGGATGTTTCAGAAAGGTAGGTGAACTGGTGCCTTTTGCTTGTAGGAATTGGAGAGATTATGAAAAATCTCATGGAGTTGATTGTGATATGAAATAAATGTAGAATATTAGGAAAGGTAAAGAGAAGCAATTCTGAAAGTATAGTTTAATTTTACTGTGTGATGGATCAACTTCACAGAGAAGCAAAGAGTGGTGATGACCTACAAAGAGAAGGAATAGTCTGGGGATATTTTAAGAATCAGGGAAAAATTCTAAAGCCTAGAATGTGATTCACAATAGAAAGAAAAGTATCCTACATTAAAACATAATACACTATAACTTAATGTGGAAAAATTAGCTTTAATTTTGAGACTCAACTCCTATCAAGACAAACATTATAAAAAAAAATTACCAAGAGAGTTGGAAGGAAAGAGTCTAAATGAGTTTTCACATGTGTCTGCAAAGGAGGCAGTCTCAATTTCTGTAATCCCGCCTTGCTCTGATTAAATGTAGTGATATTTTTCAATGCTCCCCAAAGAACTACTGGCAGTTAGTAGTTGCTATGGTAAAGAGATGTCCTTTTCTTCAGTGATGTAGCTACTGACAAGTTGCCTATACCCTCCCACCCACACAAATGCAGGCGACATTAATTACACCCCATGGGCCCCTCACTGAGAAAAAGCGAACACCAAGCAAACAAGAAAGTTGAAAGGAGACTTTTAAAGAAGGGTTTTAGAGAGAGTGGGATGGGGAGGAGAGGGTGATGGGAGTGTGAAAAAAAAAACCAAGAAGTTATTGTATGTATGAATTTTTCGAAGAATAATAACAAAATTCATGATAATGTTCATTTTATCCTGGATTTTAAATACCCCATTAAAACTACAGTCAGAGCTCCAGAGTTGCAATCAATTAGAGTGCAGCACGGAAAGAAAAACTAGTCAGTAAAAGCTCTCTATACCTTACATCCTAACTGTGCTTCTGCCATTTGTCCATCCCCAAGGGACAGATTTCTTTTCCCCTCTGCAACATGGAAGCCAAAACTGCATGCAAAATGCTCTGTGTGTCCTGCTTGTAGGCATGTCCATTTGCCCATGTCTTACAGAAGGCTGGTGCATACCTTTTCCTTTCCCTGGACATGCATTTGTTTGTAAGAGGAAAATCAGGCCAAACATACCAGGAGTGGCTTTATATAGCCTTCAGAATGCTGAGTTGCTGGGGTGATTTGTTAATTATATTTCTTATAGTCAGCCAGTTTGAATCCACTTTTTGTACTTACATTTATAATCTTCAGTTTTGATGTAGCTATGGAATAATTCTAAAGCATCAGTTAGACTGAAACCAATGTTAATGCTTTATTTTAATTGGCGTTGATTTTTTTTCTGAGACTGCTCCTGACCATTCAAGATTGATCTTGCCATGGGAGTTCCTTTCTCTACTCAAGTACTGACTGCATGGTGCTGCATTGTGATATGGACTGTGCTGTGATGTGGATATGAGGCTGTGGTGTTCATGTGGCTGTGATGTGGAGATGAGGCTGTGGTGTTCATGTGGCTGTGATGTGGAGATGAGGCTGTGGTGTTCATGTGGCTCTGATGTGGAGATGAGGCTGTGGTGTTCATGTGGACAGCATCCCATCTTACTAGACCCAGAGTTCCTTGAGGGCAGAGCTATGTCTTATTCTATTTGCCTTTCTCTATGCTTAGGACTGTGTGTAGCAGTCATATTAGTGATCAAAAATCATTTTCTTGATTTTTTTGAAATGGGTTCTTTCCCTCTCTTACTTAACCATTATTCACTTTCTTCAGGTCCTTTCCATCTGTCCCAAGGACATGAGAGCTGATATCTGTGTTCATCTGAATCGGAAGGTTTTTAATGAACATCCTGCCTTCCGATTGGCCAGTGACGGCTGTCTGCGCGCCTTAGCAGTGGAGTTCCAAACCATTCACTGTGCTCCTGGGGACCTCATTTACCATGCTGGAGAAAGTGTGGATGCCCTCTGCTTTGTGGTGTCTGGATCCTTGGAAGTCATCCAGGACGACGAGGTGGTGGCTATTTTAGGTACTGTGAACTTTCTAATGTAGTACCAAACCCGTGTAACAGTTCTAGAGATCTTGCTTCTCAGGTTTCTAAACAAAATTTCCTTTTGTTTGGTGACTTCGGAAATGGGGTCACTAATGAGATGATGAATCTTGGTGAAAGCCAGGTATGCTGCTTCAGCAAAGAACATTAGACGCAGTCACAGTTAACGGGATGCTTGAAGGTTGGATTACATTTGCTTAGACTAAAGCCGACCACAGCCTAAGGGACTTTGCATGCCGGGTGAGTGTGAATTCACTTTTGGAACCATTGTCCGATTTGTAATGCAAGGGGTGGTCCCATAGGACCATAGACTTACCCAATTCAGCCCTTTCCTTTAGAGAGGAGCCAGATGAGGCCTAGAAAGATATGGAGACTTGCCCAGATAGTTAGCAAATGACTTAGGGCTGAGCACCATTCCACCCCACAGGGCTCTGCCTCACCACAGTGGTTGAGGGCAGGATGAGAAGGTGCTGAGGAGACTGAGGACCTCATGGGAGTGAGCACAATGGGAGGAAACTAAATTTAGGTTTTTAAAGCTGGATCTGGCCATCTGTCTTCATAAAGTAGAAAAATTAGTTGGCTGATCATAAATTTCCTCTAAAATTCAGAGACCCAGTAGGTAGTACTACTGCTAGGGACAACACAAAGTAAGCATGCAGGTGACAGAATAATGACAGAATAAAAAACTAATGAACTGGAGCATAGCGTAAGATACACAGCCTGGTAAACAAAATTGCTAAATGAAGTTTAGATCACTTTCTGCTGAAACATCTGTAAACAGTTTCATGAAACCCACACAGATATAAAAGGAAGCAATCAGAAGGTCAGAGGAGAATAACCCCTTATTTTTTCTTCAGGTAAAATAACTTAGAACTGTAGGATGTCAGCTCTATTTTGATCACATTTTTCATGGCTTGTGTCTCATGAAAAATGAGTTCAATCTTTAAACTATTGGATTTTTAGCTACCGAGGTCAACCTACCGTACCTTAAATACTACTTATTTCTCATAAGGAGAAGATTGACTGATGGGTTTTAGAAACTCCAAAAGCAAAACTGAAAACTGATTTCGAATCCAACCGCCCCACAAATGAAAACTTGATTTCAAAAAGTACAATTACTTCAAAATGGCAGGATCCAGAATCAGGAAGAAATAACCTTTTACAGGAAAACAGTTTCTATAAAACCTGAGTAATACAAAATGGATCAGGAGTGCAAAGAACAGAACAGCATCGTTTGCTCAGCTTTCTGTAAGTCTTTGTGGATAATATTATAGTTACAGTTAAATCCCTTCCAGGAAATATTTTTTAAAAATATTTTTGGAAGAAAATATTACAATGCTTGGGAATCGGCACTTTGGATGTGCTTCATGTTCCCGGTGGCTTGTCCTTCATTTGCGGGGGCATAAAGAATGCCTAATGTTTTGTGAGAGCTGCGGGTCAACTGAACAGTCTTTGGTTGTACAATGAAGCATATCCATGCTACAGCCATTCCTGTTTACTTAAAGAGAAGGCTAGAGCATACACACCCCGAGCAGATGTATTTGTCTTTTTCTGAATGTTCTTGTCAGGACTGGGTGGTGGAAAGCATCAAATATATGTCCTAGAAGTGAGCTCTGTGGATTCGTTGCATTTATTTTGCCCCATTTTCTTCATTACAGCTGTACCTTGGTAACTTCTATAAAGGGTCAGAGAGAGCCTTGAGGGCACTGCCTCTGTCCTGGGTCTGCTAAAATGGAATCATTTGCTCAGTGAGGCAGACAAAATGCATATGGGATGGTAACCGGTATGCCCAATGACACTATAAAGATGAACATGGGCTCCTGGGAATCAGACTAGGCTCATCATCATCTCTCTGTCATGCCTTTGTTTCTTTGATGTGTGTTTTTGTTCCTTCTCAAAACTCTTGGGATTCCTGAGCTGTTTTTATCTGACTTAATGAGTCAAATGATGTGGACACCTCTCTGACAACCTTTTTTCTCCTTTTGAAAAAATATGTTATTATTTTTATGTGTATGAATGTATTTATTGCCTTCAGGTATGTAAGTGCACCCATGTCATGCAATGCCCATGGAGGTCAGAAGAGGGTGTCAGATCCCCTGGCTCTAGAGTTATGGATGGTTGTTAGTGGCCATGTGGGTGCTGGGGGGTCAAACCCACATCCCCTGCAAGAACAGTCAGTGCTCTTAAGTGCTGAGCCATCTTTCCATCCAGCTCCCTTTTTTCTTCTTTTGATGGGACGCAAGAGAGACTACATCCAAGAGGCAATTAGAGTAGGATTTCTTTTTAAACATTCAAGATCCATTAAGAAAGGAGAAAGATGCAAGCTCACTAGCATCACCCCTTGCAAGTCATATGACTGTTCTTTTCTCACTTTACCATTTATTTCTATTCCCTTTCTTATTTTTATTAGTTTAATTCTGAAATAACTCCAATTTCAAAGAAGTTTCATAGATTACCAGGATGCATGCATACACTGTAGTCGACCTTCTTCCCCTCTGTTTCTCCTTCTACCCCCTCGTCTCCCTTCATCTCTCCTGCCCTCCCTTCTTTCCTCTTCCCCTTCCCTTCCCTCTTTTTCTTTTACCATAATGAGTCAATTGTTCAGATTTCTATAACTTCATTCAGCAACCTTGTTATCCTTATTATGAATTCATTTGCCAGATGAAAGGTAGGAAAGGGAGGTCATTTTAAAATTAATTAGAATATATGGATTAAAAAAGAGGTGCAGTCTTACTATTTTGGATCCTGGCCTCTATACAGTCTCTTGGCAGGGACGTAATTCTTTATTGTGCCAAAAGTTCCAAAGAGTTTAATGAGTAAGTTCTAAAGCATAACTAATTAGTGGAAAGATTAAAAAAAAAGTGCAGTCAACAAATACCTCCGTTTTTAACACTGGGGGATGGCTTCAAGATGTTTCTCTAAATAGGGCATATGAATATAATTGCAGTTCATGTCTTTTTCCAACTTGAAGATCTTTCAGTTCTTACACCTCCACGCTTCCTTTTTCCTTTGACCTTCCCACTTTTTATGAAACACAAAGAATTCCAAATTAAGTTCATGATGCATACAAATTTTATATTCATTAATGTCTTCTTACTCTGTAGTTCCTACTCTATAATTACTTAGTGTGAACAGATTTATTGGTGTGGTTGAAATAGCCAGGTTACTTCTAAATGTCTTGACGAGTGTATTGTACCTTTCAGGCACTGTAAAAATAGCATCTTCCTACTAATGAGAGACCTTCCTCTAAGACAATGTTTTGCTTTATTAACATTTCTTCTTTTCTCTTGTCTTTATTGATGATTAGATTCACAGGGGTCGACTCTTAAACAAAGGCAATCTCTGCCTTAAGTCTTTCAATTTTAACTTCAACTTCCTAACTATGATTAGAACTCTGATTGTTTATACAGGGTTTAGTTGGGGGTTAGATATTAATAGAAGTCTGGGAGGAGGACGCATAAGAGAGGAAAGATGAAAGAAAGATGGAATTTAGAAATATAAGGAAGCTAGGTTAGGTCAGAATAAATATTACTTTAATTATAATCGGTTATTTAAGATTCAGGTCTTGTAAACATTTGTGCTTTTTCAGATAAAACATAAATTACTGCTATCAAAATTCTAAATCTGTACCTTAATTTTATTTCCCAAAAAACAAATCCAAGATGTGAATGAATAATATTTTGCTGTTTTGAGACATTTGAGCACTAATTAATACTGTTTTCTGTACACTTGGTATTAGAAGTCAAGTGCTTTGTGCCTTGAGTTCCAGAGCATTATTTTCTTTCTTTTTTCTTTCTGTATATCAGTGTTTTAGATGAACTGTGAGACATACAGTTTTGACCTTCACATTATGAAGATAAGCATCAATAATTTAGATTAACTTGTGTGCTCTTTTTTCTTGAAATTTGTGTTTGCATTGTTTCAATTGATTTGCCTTTAAACATTTAAACAGTGTTTATGACTTAATTTATCTAGGACTGAAACTGTTTACTTTAGAGTTCCTTATTCTGTAAATATCATTGAAAACATGAAAGGATCATATTTATCATTCTGGTGGTTTAGGCTTAATGTCAATCTCTCTCGCAATTTTAAAACTAAGCCTTATTTATTGTATTTGCTTGGTACCTCTCTCTCTCTCTCTCTCTCTCTCTCTCTCTCTCTCTCTCTCTCTCGTGTGTGTGTGTGTGTGTGTGTGTGTGTGTGTGTGTATGTGTGTGTGTGTGTGTGTACATGCACTGAGGAGACAGAATAACCTTGAGTTTTGTTCTTCATCTATAATCCACCTTATTTTTTGACCCAGTACCTCTAATGGGTCTGAAACTTGCCAAGTAAGCAAGACTGGGAGCCCAATGTGTCCCAACCTTCCTGTCTTCACCTCCTCAATTCTGGAATAGTTAAGTGTATGCCATCCTGCCTTGCATTTTTTAAGGAGAGTTCTAGAGATGAAACTCAGATCCTTGTGCTTGCAAGGCAAGCGCTTTACCTGATGCGCCATCACCTAGCCCATTCCTCGTTATCTCTCAATATTATCTTTTAGATCAGTTGCTATTACTACTGTCCATAGCATTTTTGGTCTAAGCATCACTGCCCACAGTCTGTCCTCAGCATAACCTCCAGTTCTATCTATGCTGCCATCATAGTCACCACCCCAGCGTGTAGCGTCCATCTCCTTAGGATGTCTACCACAGCTTTCTAGCACTTTGAAGATAAAGTATGACTGCTGACTGTGCTGACTAGGCCGCCGAGGCCCTGCTTTCTCCCTCCTCCGTGTTATGCTGATTTGCGTCATTCCCTTTCCCACCATGCTCTTGCCATATTGAATTGCTGGAAGCTCCCTGAGTTCTACCAAGTTCTTTCTAACTTCTTTTGCATCACCTCTTCTTTGTTTAGAATGCTTTATTGCTTGTCTTTAGTTGTCTGTCTCTTATTTCCCCAGCTTCCTTTAGTCTTCTTTTTCTTGCCTTAGACCAGATTTAGGT